TTCGCTCGGCAAGTGACCGGGACCCGGTCTGTATGCGGGATCCGAACCCCCGGGCGGGAGCGCCACCGCGCTTCCCATGCAGTGCACTTATCCAGTGCGCCACCGGGCCGGCCCTCCTTTCCATGTTTTCAAGATGCGTCCCAGTCAGTGCACTGCTGCCTTCTGTGACATATGAACCATGGGTGGCAAGAGGACTTGGGGATATGGGGGACAGAGGTGAGGTCCACTGTGCCAGGATGAGCACCACATCATGGGAGAGCAATGCAGAAATAGGCTCAGCTGGTGGCCCACACAGGAGAAATGTCACAGCTTTCCTGCCTTCCTTGAACTCAGTTGAGCAGACCTGGGCCACTTTCTCAGGTGAGAAAGACCTAGGAGCTCATAGAAGAGTAAGTGGGCACCTAAGAATCATTTACCCCCAAACGACATTTCAAGTGAGATGTTAAATTCTCTAACCATTATTTTCTCTTGGAAATTAGAGGGGGAAAATCAAGCAGAGGGCTGAATCACCTTTTATTCTTCCACTTTGGTCACTAATGTTATGGCTCTTGGTTTTGATATAGCAGAAATAAAACAAGAAGGCAACAAGCCAGCCTATAACCTATGTAAAAGCTTTGGCATACAAAACTCTCCCAGGGATTAGGATAAAAGGACTTTTTTCCCCTAGTCCTGAAGAGGTCCTTTTCTGGTTAGGGAAAGTGGTTGAAAACAACAGCCAGATGAGAAATCATTTATTTGATTTTGGCAATAGAGACAGAAAGCAATGCACATACACTTATGTCATTGAGTTGTAAACCCACATGGTTAAGAGCAAAAATCCTTCTGTTTATGTAACAGAACCTAGTAAGTGGCGTTAGGAAGGAACTAACACTTGGGTCACAATCTGCTTTCCAGGACTGGAATTTATATGTGTTGGACAATAAACAAAACATTAGTTAGTAATTCATTCATTCATTTTTCAGAATCCGACAGTTTGACACAGCCTTCCTCCCTGTCCCACCCTAGTCCCTTTAGACTTGACTGCATTGAAGTAGTTGTTAAATTAAAACATGCATGTACTGCAAACTTCCTCTAGCGTTCATATGAAGAGCTAAAACTCAAGAGAAAAACTTCTTACACCTTCTCTCCATTAAAGCATCAGTGTAGAGAAAACCAAGTCAGCTCAGAATACACCAAAGAAAGAGGCTAATATGACCAAGAAAACAACACCCCCCCCGCCCCCTCCCCCACCGCAGCACACCCATTAGACGGTAGTTATTTTCTTGTCCTTGCTAAAGCATCAGTGTAGAGAAAACCAAGTCAGCTCAGAATACACCAAAGAAAGAGGCTAATATGACCAAGAAAACAACACCCCCCCGCCCCCTCCCCCACCGCAGCACACCCATTAGACGGTAGTTATTTTCTTGTCCTTGGTGGCTTGTTTGATGGCGGCCTGCTCGCAGATGATCTCCTTGAGCCGCTGCAGCCTCATGTTCTGGGTGGTCTGGTCTCCCACCCCAGTCTGGCTGCGGTGCAGCAGGGTCAGGGCGTGGATGTACTCCAGCTCCGTGTACTTCACGCCCTGGTCCACCACCAGGTTCAGGAGCTCGTCGGCCGTGTTGTACAACATCTCGTAGTACTGCCTGAGAAAGCAAGACAGACATCGTTCTCTGTCACTGCCTCCATGGTCAGCAGCGTGGGGGAGTGGTTTATACATGAATTCACTCACTTACTCAACAAGCATTTATTGATTACCAGATAGGGTTCCTAGGCCCTATGAACACAATGCAGAACAACACAGACACCATGTGTGTCCTCTTAGAGGTCACTGGATCTCTCTCCATGAGGAGTTTAAGTGAGACGTAGGAGTAGACTTTGCACCTTTCAGGGGTTCGATTCATTCTAGATTTTCTCTTAATTTTGCATGTGCCTTAGGAGACTCAGAGAAAGAGAAGTAGGTGTGCAGAACTAAGATGGAGAGAAATAATCATCCAGTGGGCACAATCCCTCATTCATTCACTCACTCATTCAATTATTCATTGGAGGCTCTGTGAAATATATGGTTTTCTTCTGCTAAAGAGAGATAATAATAGTACTGACCTCTTAGGGTTATTGGAAAAATTATATTGATTAATACACATAAAGCACTTAGAATGGTGTTGCTTCATAAAGATTATTATTATTATAAATAATAATATGTTAATAGTAATGTAATAAAAGTCCGGGTTGAGTATCCCTTATCCAAAACACTTGGGACCAGAAGTGTCTTGGGCGTTTTTGGATTTTGGGATATTTGCAGAATACTTACTGATTGAGCATCCCAAATCTGAAAATCCAAAATCCAAAATGCTCCAATGAGTATTTCCTTTGAGCATCAAATCTGCACTCAAAAAATCTCGCATTTTATCAAACAGAATGTTTTTGATGCAAAAGAAAAAAAAACGTTTTGGATTTAGGAGCATTCTGTGTTTCAGATTTTCAGCTCTGGGATGCTCACTCTGTAATGATGAGCAAGACATGGCCCCTTTCTTCAAGTGGCTCAGAGACCTGCAGAAAAGATACTGAAAAGCAGAGAAATAGGATTACGTTGTTGTTGCCGAAGTTCATTCCCACGCACTGTGCCACGTATCCCTCCCTGCACCCAGGGAGCTATACTTCTTCTCTCAGATAAGGAAGCTGAAGTGTAGAGAAGTTACGGGACTTGCCCAACGTCACAGAGATAATGACTATGGCAGGATACAAACTCGGGTGTCTGACTCCAAGTCCAGTACCATTTCTTCATGGATACAGACAACTTACAAGAAGAATGTTCCATGTGCCACAAGTGAGGTATAAGTGCCATGAATTTATAGCAGAGGAAGGAGAAATCGTACCATGTGGACAGGAGCATGTCAGACCAAGAGAGACTTCACCCTGGGTAGGATTTGTCAGGCAGGGCTTCTAGGAAGGAAATTTTAGATGGAGGCAAGAACATGGGTAAAGACAGGGGAGAGTGATCTGGTCAGACTGGGGAGTGTAGCCTCATAGCGGAGAGTCCTGAGAACAGGCGCTGAAGCCAGAAGGCTTTGAACATCAGCCTATGACTTTAGGCTTAGGTAAGCCAATAAAGGACTTCCCTCTCCCACCCCCAAGGCTCTGTTGAGAGCAGAGGTACTGTTCAAAGTTGTCCTTCTGAAAGATAATGTGGCAGCAGAGTGTAGATGGTCTGGGAGGAGATCAGTTATAATTCTAGCAAAAACGAGGGGACTTGAGAGCCATTTGACTGCAGGCCATTGGCCTGGGTGGTGGAGAGAGGAATAGTGCCTATAACAGAAATGTGCATTACAGTGAATCTTCAATGCAGAAAGGAGATGGAGGTGGCCACGAGTCAGGGAGGGGGAAGGCTGCTACTCACTATTCATAAAACCATAATTATGTCCCTACTATCCTCAGACTGGATTCCGAGGCTACGACTTACATGCCACTCCAGATTACCCAGGAGGTAAAGTTTAGCACAGGCTCTGAGCCAGCAGTGCTACCACAGCTGTTAGCAAAAGGACAGAAGAGTCTTCCCAGGAGCAGATTGCTTCCTCCTCTCTTCCTGACATGAAAGGTAGCTTTGCCAGGACTGAGGGGACAGAACAAGGTGGTGGGCTCAAGGCAACTCCTGGAGGTGAAGCGATCTTACAGATCTCTCAGGATCACTAGCTCAGAAATCCTGCGTTACTGGACTCAGGGCCTTGGATTTGTTTCTTCTTCATCAGAAACATCTTGAGAAAAGAACATCCAATGGGAAAACTAAGCCATCCTTAGGGTAAGGAATACATTCTAGGAGCTTCGTACTTTCAAAAATATTTTATAAATTGCTGCTACAACGAGGATGTGGGCAGGAGGCGTTGTGGCGTCTTTTCAGATGGCCAGTTCCTCTTCCTGCTCCGTTAAACCTCCTTTTCTAATTAATGTACTCTTTTAAAAAACAGGAGAAATAATACTCTTTTGTGAACATTCCCTAAATAGTGGCAGGAACGGAAGGTGCTCTTTTCAGATTGGCTAGGAGAAATAGGGCTGGCCCGGTGGTGCACTGGATAGTGCGCCGCTTGGGAAGCGCGGCGGCGCTCCCGCCCGAGAGTTCGGATCCCACATACAGACCGGTTCCCGCTCACTGGCTGAGCGAGGCGCGGGAGCAACACCGAGGGTTGCAATCCCGTTGCCGGTCCCCGGTCCGGTACGGGGGCAACACTGAGGGTTGCGATCCGTTGCCAGACACGGAAAAAGACAAAAAAAAAATAGGAGAAATACTACTCTTTTGTGAACATTCCCTAAATAGTGGCAGGAACGGAAGGTGCTCTTTTCAGATTGGCAAGTTGATGAGTGTCTCCTGGGAGCAAACGCTCAGTTCCCCTGTGTACAGGGTTCTCTTGGGCCTAATTTTCTGTAGTGGTCTCATTTTAACCTTCTGGAAACAGACATTTAGGAATCACTGGCCAAGGGTAACCTTGAATGTAACAGAAGTACTTCTGATAGAAGAGGACAACGAACTCTAACCTCCGGGGGTCTAGGAGCCCAATAGCAGCTACAACCAGAAAACTTTCCGAAGCTTCACGTTCAGCCTAAAATCCATGTGAACTTTGTATCCTATTCCTACATAGCTCATGGCTTGTAGAGCAAGTCTCTTCATAGTCCATAATATTCAGGGACCAACTGCTAGATGTGGACCAAATATCCTATTCTGGGGACCAAAGAGTTTCACGTCGCCTTGGTGGCTGGGACATTCCGTGAGGAGGTGTGTGCTTTCCCATGGTTTCTCCTACCCTTTGCTGTGCATCTTTGGGCAGCAGTTCCCAAGGTACTATGTGCAGAGAGGGCAAAGGGGTGGAGTGATAGAGAAGTGGTGGTCATGTCCTCAATGTATCTGTTGTAATTTAAAAATACCATTTCTAAGAAAAACTTGATGCTGTAGGAAGATGCACCATAGCTATCCTACAGCTCTGCATGTCTCCTGGTACACCATGGCTTCCTCCTTGAAACTGGACTCTGTTTTGAGAAATGAGGCCCAATGTCATCTAATTCTGTTTCCTATAGATGCACAGGTAAGAAAAAGAGCTGTCTATTTAGGCAACTACCTAAAAATATACATTTTTTAAATTGCTCAAGAATGAACCTATGTACACATCTAGATTTACCAAACGGAATGAGAGAGAATATGGGGCTCATGATTGTTTCAAAGCTAGAAGGGAACTGAAAGCTACAGTTTCTAGACTAGTGGTTCTCAAACTCCAGAGTGCGCAACTAATAATTATCTGGAGAGCTTATGAAAAGTGCAGATTCCTGATGCTTCATCCCCAGATACTGTGATTCTCAAAGGTTCTGAACCAGCTGTGTGTAAAGGACGCTAAGCCAGAGCTGAGTGTGAGGGGAATAGTTACAGAACCACTTCCATCTCCTGCAGCCAAGGACCTAAATGCATCAGGGAAGGCTACAGGAACAATAAATGGTTTGTGATGCTTTTCACTGAGATTTAAGCCAAAAGAACTGGGTTTCTTTGTATTATAATGTTGATATTTTTATCATTTATCTTAGAAGTAACACTGAACCTATCATACCTGATGAAACTCGATTTCTTTTGAAAAGTCTGATGAATTGTTGTGGTGGCTGGGACATTCCGTGAGGAGGTGTGTGCTTTCCTATGGTTTCTCCTACCCTTTGCTGTGCATCTTTGGGCAGCAGTTCCCAAGGTACTATGTGCAGAGAGGGCAAAGGGGTGGAGTGATAGAGAAGTGGTGGTCATGTCCTCAATGTATCTGTTGTAATTTAAAAATACCATTTCTAAGAAAAACTTGATGCTGTAGGAAGATGCACCATAGCTATCCTACAGCTCTGCATGTCTCCTGGTACACCATGGCTTCCTCCTTGAAACTGGACTCTGTTTTGAGAAATGAGGCCCAATGTCATCTAATTCTGTTTCCTATAGATGCACAGGTAAGAAAAAGAGCTGTCTATTTAGGCAACTACCTAAAAATATACATTTTTTAAATTGCTCAAGAATGAACCTATGTACACATCTAGATTTACCAAACGGAATGAGAGAGAATATGGGGCTCATGATTGTTTCAAAGCTAGAAGGGAACTGAAAGCTACAGTTTCTAGACTAGTGGTTCTCAAACTCCAGAGTGCGCAACTAATAATTATCTGGAGAGCTTATGAAAAGTGCAGATTCCTGATGCTTCATCCCCAGATACTGTGATTCTCAAAGGTTCTGAACCAGCTGTGTGTAAAGGACGCTAAGCCAGAGCTGAGTGTGAGGGGAATAGTTACAGAACCACTTCCATCTCCTGCAGCCAAGGACCTAAATGCATCAGGGAAGGCTACAGGAACAATAAATGGTTTGTGATGCTTTTCACTGAGATTTAAGCCAAAAGAACTGGGTTTCTTTGTATTATAATGTTGATATTTTTATCATTTATCTTAGAAGTAACACTGAACCTATCATACCTGATGAAACTCGATTTCTTTTGAAAAGTCTGATGAATTGTTTCCAGGGATACTGGCTGGTTTTCTATAGAGATCTTTGTTCCATGCTGGGAGCAAACAAGAAAAGGAAGATGCCTGAATTTCTAGTCTTGGATTTTCCAGGGTGATAAGTGATAAAGGGCATGCCACGTAA